CACCTGCACACACGGTACAACAGTGAGACAATGCGCAAATGAACTCAGTCTGGACAACCAAAAATAAAAAACAAAAACACAATGTAGGTGGATACACACAACCCCATTATACGATGGCACTTTGTCTAGCCAAGTCACTCCTTCTTTCTGGTGTCATTTTTTAAAAGTGTACCTTCCATTACCAATAACGTTATGAATTGAATAGTATTCTAGTATAAAAGCAGAAAAAGCATCACCGGGAACAGACATGAAGCAGGCATAGAGTAAAGCAATTACTCCAAAAACAACACTAAATGTTTTACGAGACATGGTTGTGTATACTCTGTTTTAACATATATTTGTATTACATGTAGAATGCATACCGAATAGAAAGGAAATCAGCGCAGGTGGATCATCAACTCACACAGATGGTTTTGTGTACCTTTTGTTATTAGGTCTCTCCCTTTCTGGAACGTCTCACCATCAAAATGATGCTCGTCACTCAGCATAGACGCTAAATCCACATTGGCATTGCTGAGGTACATATTGACAATGGAAATATGGAACAAGACGCTGGAAAGAAGCGAGGTGGAATTGTCCGTAAACAAACATGCCTCTTGTACTTGGTCAACTGTTAGACTGTTATCAACCTAAAGACAAGAGAAAAGTTGAAAGTTCTTTGTGGAGTTTTGACAAAGAGATTGTATGGAACTAGACAAGTGTGCCCCGATTCTTACATTCAGAATGAAGTCCCTTCCCTCTGCTACAGCAATGTCTCGACAGACCTCGGCAGTCTTTCGGAGTATTGCCCTTTGGGTAATGTCGCGGTGAGAAGTGGAATTTCCATCAGACACAAAGAGTGGTTGGAAGCTTTGAGTTAGGTCTGTGAGGGCAAGGACCACAGACACCAGCAGCGAGACTGACCAATTGTTGCTCATTATGATGACACGGAGAAACCTAAATCACAATGGAAATGTTCTGTAAAACCAACACCTGTCCTTTCAGTGTGTTGTAAAACCATCAGTTGCTAGAACAATGTGATGGTGTAACCAATAATCAGAAGAATTTGGGAATATTGACATTACCAAAGGAACCAAGAGAAAAAAAAAGAAAGCAATAAAATGATCAGCCTCACCTTATTATGTTCTTGTTGACAAAAATGTTCAGGAGTTGGGACGGCTTCCGTCGCCCAATGAGTGCATTCCAGTTTGAAGGATCAACACAAGTAGATTGTGTAATGTGGGTCTTGTGTTATCTGCGAGTCGCTGGACTATGTGTGTGTGTGTTTGAATGGGTGCACTGGTGTGTTTGAGTGTGTGCTTGTCGTTGACTTACAGGCTGTTGAATGATTTGAAATGTAAACAACTTGCCCACACCCTCACGTCTTGTTTTAACATATAGATTTTTGTAAGTGTCCCAAGTACAACTAAACAGATTTTGTTTTTTGTTTTTTTTTTTAACTAAAGACCTATCTGTCGTAGGTGTGGTATACACATCAGCGTTTTTCAAACCTTAAATGATTTTTTTTTCACCTGTGACAAACCCTGCACATCAAGATAGAAAATCAGGCATTAATAGTTTTGGTCATATTGTGTGTGTGTTGTCTGCTCCAGTAATCTCAACACAGAACACCTCACACTTGAACATTCTGTGGCACCACTTGTCTACAACCCAGTCCTCTGCAGCACAATTCTCACGTGATTACACATGATCTCACGAAAACAAAGACGAGCAGACGCTTCCAGGTATGCACCAACGGTTGTCGAGTGTTTCTGAAGAGGACCTCAGATGTGAGCGTTGTAAAATGGCGATGTCGGCAAGAAAAAAAACCCCTTGCTTTAGTAAATACTTATACCTGCCGTCTGGGGAACAAACATTTATACAATGCTGCTTCATTGTTCTTCAATCGTGGCTACATTGTGTTCGATTGGCTACGTTGTGTTCATGTCACAGTCAAATGATTTTCCCCACAAACATGCAGATTTTTTTTTGGGGTGGGGGTGGAATATAAAAATTTTCTTATTTATCATTGTTGGCCCAACACATCTTGCACCCAATTATACCGAAAAATCCATTCTTAACACAATTTCAAGATTGTTGGGCATTTGAGGTGTCTGGTCAGGAAGTGTCACAATCAAGACAATTATTGCCCAACTGTCTTCACGTGTTTATTCGTTCTTAGATTCATGTCTAAAGTGGATGCATAGGGAAAAAAAAACAAAAAACAAACCTCACTTTTTTCCTGTATTTTAGGGCAAACTGTGAAAACTGACATGTGCTGATCCCATGATAAATTGCCCTACTCATTTTGCCAATTATACTTGGAAGCAGTTGGCTCGGTGATCAACAGGTTAGCATGTCGGCCTCACAGTGCAGAGGTGCAGAGTTCGATTCCGGGTTCCGGCCTTCCTGTGTAAAGTTTGCATGTTCTCCCCGTGCCTGCATGGATTTTCTTCAGGTACAGCGGTTTCCTCCCACATTCCAAAAACATGCATGGCAGGTTGATTGGGCACTCTAAATTGTCCTTTGGTGTGAGTGTGAGCATCGATAGTTGTTCGGCTCTGTGTGCCCTGCGATTAGCTGGCAAATGGTTCAGGGTGTCTCCCGCTTACTGCCCAAAGACGGCTGGGATAGGCTCCAGGACCCCCGCGATCCTTTTGAGGATAAGCGGATAGGAAAATGGATGGTTGGATAGTTGGGAGCTAATTATGGCAGGTTATGGAAATCTTCAAAACTAATCGGATCCTACAGACGTAGACAAGGGTAAGAACTGAACAAAAAGATTTATTGGAGAAAACCACACGGCCGACAAAGTACAACAAATGTCCCTGGTAGCAAAGGAATGAGGATACAATGAGACAAACAAAAAGCGCTTGCAAGAGGGAAGGACAAACAATAATGCAAAGTCACGAAAGACAAGAAAATCCAATCACATGAGAATGAGGCGAACAAGATTACCGGTAACAATATACAAAATACTATTATACAAAAAAAAATCAATACATACACAAGAAAGCTTTGAAACATGGTGATGAAACGTCTTGAATAATCAAATATTGGGCACGAGAGTCGTGAGCAAGACTGAATAATCCGACATCTGACTGCCGCTGTTCAATTCCTTAACGCGAGACGTGCGGCACTGGAGGGAACGCCCTCCAATCCCGCAGGAACTGGAACACAAAACAAACAGAAAGATAACAAATTATTCAATTTCTAGAATGTATGGATTTAGCACAAGAATGAGGCTCCCTGTTGCCACGAATAAATGCACGTATGGTGGATCTGTCATCAGCACTTTAACAGAATGGGTATCAAAATAGTTTGATTTTACCTACACTTATTGTTGAAATTATAAAACATTCATCTGAGTATTTTTATGATGATGTAGGCATAACTAGCACATAGTTACCACTTCAACACACTTTGTGGAGAGGTTGGGCTCACCAGGTGTGGAATGCATTTCATTTGTTTCGGTTGCATAACCAGTGATGGCATTCTTTTTAAATTGAACAAGGCAATTTATTGACTATTGATAAAAAAAAAAAAAAAAAGTTGCGGCTGGAGGTGGTCAAAAAGAACAAGCTGTGGCCTGCCTTGTGACCTCAGCCACCTGTATTTGTCGGTGTCAGATATCAACATGAAAAGGGATGTCCTTTTAGATCTCAGAAATGTTCTGGAATGGAGGATCAACGCAGTCACATCCACATGCTATGTCGACCCGTGTTAATGACTTGACCACTTTTGAAATTTTGCGGCAGAACCCCGCCGACTGCTCGCACAGTTCAGTTGCTCCCGCCCCAACTGATTGATGCCTGTTGTAATAGTGAAGCGAGAAGCCGAGCGAGGCCGGTCCACAGACGAGCCAGGCCGTTCTGGAACCTGGAATAGTAAAGCACCGCTAGAGTGTTTGACAAAGGCCAATGAAGTTGCCAAGAGAACCCGTTCCACTTGTTTATTCCACACCAAAGTATATTAAATGTAGAACACTTCCTTTTGGAAGAGAACTGCTATTGACTTCTGCATGCACACATTTGCAAAATGACATTATTAAGATACCCTTTATTTGTCCCACACTGGGGAAATTTACAGTCTACAGCAGCAAAATTGGGGGGTAGAAAGAAGAAAAAACAAAGTGTTTGCATGCACAAACTTATACTTATAATACTTATGCGTTTGCATCTTCTCCGTCTTCTGATGTAAACATGAGTGAGACACTGACATTTCCAAAAAGTGCCACTTTCAGACCAGCTTTTAAAACTTAGCTTTTTTTAGGGGGGGTTTTGTTTTTTTTCAAAAGAGCGCCATCTTCATCCATTTTTATTCAGAAGTGGCCTCACGTAAAAAGGACACAACCAAAATATTAGCAATAGGTCCCAATATAATCCAATACCATTCGAGACCCTCTTAGCCAAATGTAGACATATGGTAAACCTCTCTGATAGTGTCAAATTGTCAATCAAAAATGTGTATTCATCTCTTGTTAAGTGTTTAGTTGTTTAGCCTGTGATTGATTGTTCATATTTTAAACATAAATTGACTTATGGAGGCTCATGAAGAAGAACCTCTGCAACTTGATTGTGATTGTGTATTTATTGATGTTGTTAGACTGTGATTCACATCGGCTATAGCTTGCCAAGGAGCCATAAAAAAAATGACAGTCGAAAATGGACTGGGACCTTGTCCCGGGCTATTGTATCTGTTTGAAGTAGTTGATCATAGTGTATACTGGTATGCAAAAAAACAAAAAAAAAACAAAAACAAACAAAAAAAACAACAACAACAAAATATGTACAAATAGAGTAGATAAAGATGTATGGATCGATATATAGTGCAGTAGAAGTGCATCAAAAATACAGATTATTAAAGAAAAGTATTGCAACTGAAATTATTTGAGATGTTTAGCATCACTCATCCCAAAGATCAAACAAGACCCACACAGACAATCTTAACGATAACCTTTAACAAATACAAAAAAACCCCAAAAGCCCATAATCAATGGTGATGCAGAACAAAGTTGATGATGGAAATGAAATTTGTTTTAGATCATGGTGTTTTTATGACAACGTCAAGCATGATAGCGGGTTACTGGTTGGACATAAGAAACATTATGCCGATGAGTTTTCTTTCGATATGCCTTCATAAAGATGAGAGCGACCACAAGCCAAATTGCGATGACAAAAGTGACATTGACAATGCACCACAATCCTTCCGCCGATGATGCAGATATCAGATGTAACATGTTTCTCTTTACGTCATACACGCAGTTGAGGTTGCTCTCCAACTTGTAGGTGACTTTACAGTCCTCTGTGACGTCAATGTGAACACGAGACACTTTGAAGACTTCATATGGAGGAATAAACACCTGATGATTTGTTTCCAACGCAGAGTAATGGCTTATGTCGGCACCAAAACAAGTATTCACTTTAAAACAGGTGCAGCTCCTTTCAAGGCTCCTTTTGCCAGAAGCTAAAGTAAAGGAGCCAAACCGGACTTGCTTGTTAGAAATGTCAACCTGTAAATGCATTTGTGTTCGGTAGATGGTTTTGAGACATGTTGGCTGACTGTGTTTTAAAACCTGAATGGCTTCACGAAGAGAAGAATAAAGCTTTGAATCCATATGAATTGTCTCATCTTTGCTCGATTGTTGTCCACTTACATTCACAGTGCGTACTTTATTGTTGGAATGCTTCAGCATAGACTTTGTATACATGTATATGGCCACAGCAGGTTGTTTCTCAATATATGCGTGCGCTGGCCTCCGAGCTTTTTCTTCCGCATTGCTCCAAGCCTGACTGAAGTTTGTATGGGATTCCATTGTCTCGAGAACGACCACATCAGTCAATACAATGGGTTTTGTATTGCAGCCGCGTTCCCCGGAGTCGCAGGCCTGTGTCGAATTCTCAACAAAAGGAGAAATGGTGTGCTCAGCATTTATCCACTAGATGGCAATGCAGTCTTCTCTCTGAGGAATTTTATTAAATTACCTTTCCAGAAACACACTGGCAATGGGGCAGAAGATATATAATGACTGACACCAGCAGGCAGGTAATGAGAAGAGATACAGTAATGACGCATGCTAAGTTCCTCTGCCAAGTACGTCTGGAAAGGAAAAAAAAAAGGATGGTTATTCCACCTAATAGCTTCCACTGTACTTTGACCCTATCGTCAATTACCTCTTAGGTATCACCACTCGGCTTGCACATATAACATGCTTTTGAAGAAGAAAATGTATTGGGAAGAGATTCTCATGAGAATGAAATAGGAAATGGTGCCAACATCAAATAAAAAGCAAAAGTTAAGCACCGTGACGCACAAACCGAAATGTTTTCCAGGATGTAATTTGTAGGCTATGTAGCTCCGTGCAAACGTGCAAAATCCCACAACGCATGAAACATTGGGCAGCCATGCTCCCCAAACATGGAAGCTTCTATGAAACTATTATTTACTATTATATTCTATACTATTATGAAACTACTGCCTTACACTGACCACAATGAATTGTTTTGAGAACACCCTCAGGCATAGAGCATTTGTAAGCATTCCATTGATTCTGTATTTGCTTCATTTGGCGTCTTTAACAATTCAATAGATTGAACGATCTGTAGTACGCAGCACAAATCAAATCGAGAAATTGCTTGGTTAGTAACGCAGTAATAATTCATTGTAGATCTTACCCCATGAAGACAAGCACTGTGGTGGTGTTTTTGTTTTTTTTCTTAGTTCTGAGACGCAACCTGTTTTTCGGTCTTGTATGTTTTCACTCACCATCCTGCTCAAATGAGATGCCAAACCGCTAGTATTGCCACACCCTGCACTCCAGTGGTGAAGTCAGTGTCTCTTTTTCCTGAATCTGTTCACACCATCCAGTTATGATGAATCATAATTAACTGTGATAAGGAATTGTGCAGCATGCCTTTGAAAACATCACATCTACTGTTACTGGTTCTGGGACTGAATATCGCTAGAATGCAAAGTTCAGATAGTTAAAAATGTGTCAGGTGTGAAAGCTGACCTTAATTTGTGTTAGGTTCAGATAAATCCCGTTTCCTGAGAGTTCGTTGCTGCTGCTTCACATGCAAATTGCTGCTTTAAAAGCATATGCTTTCCAAAGGCACATCACAGGAAAAAAAAGGTAAGGCAAAAAATATCCAACTTTTGCATACATTATTTAACTTTTTCATCTGCAGGTTTAGTCAGCATGCCTGATGTACAACATATCGCGCGAGATGAAACAACTCGGAAAAAAGGCGGTAAGCCGAGCAAGAAGGTTCCAAAATCACTTGTGTTAAAGACTCGTCTGGTCTGTAAAATTTAAGTACCAAATCTAAAAGCCATGGGGACAAGCGTAAAAATTTCCATCCAAAGTTTTCGCTGTCAGTAATGTACAGTACTCACAAATGATCAGTGTTATAGTGCTGCCTACAAACTGCAAAACACAAAAATGCCCTGGGGAGAGCTGAATCTGAATGGCAAAATAAAAAAAACAGATAATACAAACATTCATATAAATTGTGTAAGCGGGTTATTTAATATTTCATCATGTAAACAACACGTTTATGATTGTGGTTCGAGTGGTGTAGAACTGCACAGCGTAATACGGAGTACACGGTGCCATCATAAACTGTATAACAAACAAAATATAAGAAACGGCTCTCAGGATGAAACAATGCAGTTTTGCACCACTACAAACAATCATTAATGTATTGTGAAATTTACCCTTTCATGCACCCTGTAACCTGATAACATGATAAGCTGTACACTGTAGTAACCGCTGTCCCTGAAAGGGTTAATTAATACCTCATTGACAGTCAATTAGTCGCAGGTTCGTAAAGGCAGTTTTTGATTGATCTTATTACTTCGTAGATGTCAAGAGTGAATTTCACAATGGTGTCTTTGCTTGAATTATTCAAAATGAGTTTTTGGACATGAACTGATGTATTTTGAACTGAAAAGCTTTGTATGTAGTATGAGTTATCCTGGTCTCTTCCAATTGATACTGTTTATCAACTTTCTGGGACTAACTGTTGTCAAGATGTATTTCTACACCACCTCCAGCCCACCCTGACAGCACTGGGTTGCTCCTTCAGCCAGAGACTGTTACGCCCACGCTGCAAGAAGGAGAGATACCGCCGCTCATTCCTACCGACTGCTGTTAGGCTGCTAAATAAACATACGTGAAAACCTGGACTCCCCCCATCCATACATTGTAAATAGCACAGCCACCTTATACAGCATACATGCAGTTGCATCTATGCTTATATCTATATTTTATATTGCATTATGTACTGTGTACAGTTCTTTTTTCTGAAACATTTATTTTGTGCATGCAATACTTTGTTTTTCTTTTCTACCCCCCGCCCCCTTCAATTCTGCTGCTATAGATTGCAAATTTCCCCAGTGTGGGACAAATCAAGGTTTTCTTATCTTCTTATTTTATTATTATTATTATTAGCAAAATAATTATTCTTCTTATCATTCTTGTTCTTATCTTCTTTTTATTATTACAAATTCATCCATCCATTGTCTACATTGCTTATCATGTTCTGGGTCACAATCCGTAATAGTTGAAAGCTCTGTAAAAGCTATCGTTTCTGGAATTGCTAAGCCTAGTTAAAACCCATTATTCTTTTTGTAAAGCTTGATGCTGGCCTTAAATTGTAGGGCTGTGATTTATTTTTTTTTTTTGCATGCGTGTTTCAACACTAACATTCTTGCAGTTGTCACAGCACTGGTTCAAAGGTTATGTTCCACTTGACCTGGCTGTGGTGTTGAACATACTGTCTGCAGGCTGCAGAGACAAACTGCGAGGAACTATTTACTCATTGAGAAGTATCGAGACCAAATCCTCACACTGTTCTGGGCTCAAGCTGAGAAGTAAAATAAGAAAACACAGTAGCGTAAGAAAGTGAAGAAATCCTCCAGTGGAGCAGGGAAAGAACAAGAAAGAAGTAGTCATGGTAATTTATATTTACACCCTTGACAAATCCACTGTCGACATATATTTCAATGCTTCTGTCCAAAGCCAGATATATTAATACAAAACCATGTTCAGGTATCACACCCTTCATTTATTCTTGACATATGCCATCCAGACTCTGAACTCACAAAGTCTTGCAGCAGAATAATACCGAACCAGCTTCCAAAGAGTGAACACATCCTTCTACCAAGACATGCTCAACAAACAATTCTCTTTCACGTCCAGCTCAATGGGCTGGTACACCAGTGTTGAGATATTACATGCAAAATAAGTTACATGGTCTGGAGCTGATATCTCACAGTACTTTAAACTTGGGGAGTCTGGGGGGGCGGTCTTGATTCCTCGACATGAGGTCATCAATATAGACAAGAGCTCTGCCGATAAGAAACTTCAGTGCGAGGTGGTTTGCAAACTTGTATTGCCTACTTTGGCACGGGCGTGGTGGTGGAGGACCCAAAAAAGCAGGCAGGAGGGAGGAGCAGGGTGAACTTGACAAAATGTATTCATCAAACACTAAGAAAAACTAAATCCAAAACAAACAAAATCCTGAAACAACACGGATACAAAGTAACATGGCAGACACAAAAATAAAGTGAAAGCAATACAAACAAAAATCCATGGCAGTAACACACAGGAGCAACAACAGAAACCAGTGACAGCAACAATGACTCGACACCAAGTGGTCGGGCCGGGAGTCCTTTTAACAGAGAACCTACTAATGACATCACGACCAACAGATGTGTCGCTGCAGGAAGAGCCCTACTGTTCCACCTGTTGGTCACAAACAGATCAATGACGTACTCGTTTATTTGAATTAGTGTTCATTTCACTCACTTGTTCGAAGTCAACATTAAATAAGGCAATGATTGCAAAAACAAAGATATTCACATATTTAAAAAAACAAAACAAAACACTGTACCCTCAGATTTTTTTTTTTACGACACTATCACAATAAAACCCCTGCATATTTATAATTTTAAAAATAATACAACATGGATTTCACTATATAAACCAAACGATATCTTAGTAAGGTGTAGGACTCTGTTTGAGTTGACAAAGGGTAACTGAGGACCCCACACCAAAGCCTGCATACAAAGGTTCACTGAACTGAGCTTTGAATCTATGGATGAGCTCCATCGTTTCTGAGACGGAGTAAAATGCCACCGTGTTACCAGCATAGTCCAGGTACACGCCAATTCGTGAGGCACGGGGAGCATTCGCAAGGTCACGGTCTGCTTTATTGTGCCAAGCGGAATATCCAGAGTCGGAGCAGAGCAGACTCCAAGATTTGCTGTTGTAGCCCAGCAGACTGTGTGAGTTTTTCCCCTTGCGACTGATGCTTTTATAGGCCACTCCGAGGGAAAACTCACCGCTCCACTCAACCTCCCAGTAAAATCTGAAACCAGTAAGTGGCTCCTTGCACAGCACTTGGGAGAAGCCGTCGAAACGTTCCGGATGATCAGGATAAAACTGGATTGTTTTCTTCCTGGTGACCCTCTGGTTCCCATCTGACAGGACCAGCTCCTTATAGGCTGTATTTGCATCGAAGGACATCTTACAGGAGTCTAAGAGCAAACACATTTCTTCACTAAAATGAACAATCAAAACTCACAATTCATCCGTAATAACCCGCTACTGAAACCAATGTATCCATATCTGTCGTCTAGTTGTCTTAGGTAGGAACAGAGGTTCCCTTGATGAAGAAACATGATGATTCTCAGGGCCAGTGAGAGGGGCCGAGATAATAGTATTTGCGACACTGGGCCCAAACAATGTAGAAAGTAAGGTTAAACAATGCACAGTTAACTACTGTACTTACATCTTAAGAAGTCTGATCTTGATTTTGGCTCCTGAAAGTCCACTCTGTTAGGAACTGTTTCAGCATCAAAATATGAAACATAATTTTTGTGTTCAGTTGACATCCCATGAGCTAATTTTTCTTAAAAAAACAAAAAAACAAACAAAAAAAAAGTTGTCACAATGCCTTTATGCCACTTCCGAGGCAACCGGGAATACATTTTATTTTATTTTCAAATTATGCCTAATTCTTAAGTCACATACATTTTGTGGTTAGGAATGCATTGAAAACCTTTCAAATAGGGCAAATTTTCACTGCTTCTATGAGGTACTTTAGTGCAGCACCAAGGGAGTACCACATTTTGGTGGGGACATTGTGATAGTGGTCGTATCGACCGAGCAACACAAAGTCCACAGCAACAGATATAAAAGTAGGTTATCATAGTGTAGACACATTTTATGCTACAGTATAAGATTTA